GAGAAGGCTTTTTTTTCTTTACAGCTTTTTCAAATGATCCTTTAGGCATTGATTCCCAGTAGAATCACTACTGAAGAACAAAAAAATAAAATAGTATCTATATTAAATTATTTTTTAAAGTTTTAATTTGAAAAGAGATTTGACTTACTTTTAATAGTATTTTAATTTTTTTTCTTAAATTACAACAATCTTAAATATGGCTTCATCATTAATATTAATACTTCAAATGCAACATTAATAACTTGTGGCATACCTCCATATATAGCATGATAGCTTTAAACCGCCTGGCGAGATCACTTATGAAATCGCTACCTGCCTCTTCCAATGGTGATTCGGCACCAAAAGACACAAATATTGGTGCGTTAGCTTTTGCTCCGCCCCAATGCTTCGAATTGATTATGTATTTTTGTTTGAAAGCTGAGTAGCTTTCTGTCTTGAAGTCCTCCTTTAAATAAGGTTTTGGCACCAATTTCACAATCCTGTAATCATCTCAATGAACTTTGCCTTGGAAAATTGTTGAATCTGGTAGCTGTGGCAACATAAAATGAGAAAAGTATATATATGAGTACAAGCCATGGAAGTGAAAATATCGAAGAGTATTCCATGGCAATGTTTTTGGTCCACATAAAAAAAAGGGCACCATGAACATCCATTTCTACCATTAGAACCAAGCATAAAAGATAACCTGTTAGTTGTGCATTCAGCCGGTTAATGTGGTCAAATATTTGTAAATTAGTGTTTTTCTATTTATATGGTTGATTGATTCTTTTCTTGTAATTAGTAATACGTTGAATTAGAGTTTTTCCTTATTTGTATTATTAACTATCTTTTTTGTTTGTCAGTGAATTAGGTTTTTGGCTTTATTGTGTGGTTGACATCTTTTTTTTTCTTTTTTTTCAGTATCTTCACCCCGTAATTAGTGATTTTTAGGTTGATGTAAGAAAAAACTTTGTTTTCTAGTTTCTCTGATAAAATCCCTATGTCAACTTATTTATTCCATTGGATTAATAAAAATGGAAATACTTATTCTATAATTGACAGAATCAGTTTATCTTATTATTTATGAAAGTCACAATTTTTGGATTACTATTGATTTTTTTTTTTTATTAACTTACTCCCAACTATTTTATAAATAATCAAGCACCCCTTAAAACCCAAACGCCCCAAAAAAAAAAAAGAAAAAAAAAAAAAATTTGTTAACATGCACTTGGGAAAAATGGATTTTTCAGTCCTTCCTTTTTATCCTTTTTCCTTTTCTTCTCCTCATTTTCCTTGCTTTCTCCTCCTTACTATATATTAAAATTAAATATGATAATTAGGTCCCTTAGTTTTTGTAAACTGACACAAACACTCCTTGCAAACTAGGTTTTTCAACTTCATGTTGAAACCCTAACGCCACAAATTTGGGGAAGCCATGGCTTAAGCTTCTAGGCCGAGAAGCATCATAGAATAATAGCCACATAGGCTAACTATTGTTTTTGAATTTAGTAATCAGTAATTGCATAAGTTAATGAATACAAAGATATTTATATATAACTTATTGTTTTTGCCTTTATTAAGTTTTCTAACAAGTACAACCCCCTCCGCTACAAGTCCGAATTGCCAAGGTTAGAGATATGGTCTATACCTCATATAATTAATTAATTATTTGTGTCCAACGGTTAAATTCTGGTCTCGATGATTTTTTGAAATGAGTTGGTTTAACTAAACTTGTTCAACTTGTCTACGAAACACTGAAATTAACTGGCTGGATCAAGAGGATGAATCCTCATACTTACGTAGCCATTACATAATATTCTTCATCTCTAAGCCTGTGAAGCTTTAGAAATGTTCGGCGGAAGACATTAATTCGCATAAGAAAAACAAGGCCACTCCTCCTCAACTAATTGGTTAACTCATATTCTCTTCTATCTTAAACAGTGTTAAGATCGAGGGTTAACATATTATATAATTATAAAAAGAAGAATAGGTAAATTAATACTACTGGGTCTAACAAAGATGGCTGGGACTTGAAGGATAGTCTACTGATTTCCAGCGGGATCGTGTCAAAATTCAAGAGTGGTTAGAAAGTCGCCAAAAGTCACGGAATACTAGGTCATTGAGTAAAAGCTTACTTTGCTCGTCAATTTCTTTACTTCTTATTAATTATACGTGTCTTATTCGGATCACAGACCACCATTTCTCAATTTCTTATGAATAATTAATTATTTTTAATTTAATGTATAGTTAATTAGTACGGAACAACACTTTGGGGAGTCCCAATTATTTATACTTTTTTTTTTTTCCTTTGATTGAGCTTTAGAGGCATACTTTAAGAAATAAAAACATTAAATTTTATTTATTTCCATATATATAGTGTAAAAAGACAAAAGTAATAATTTTTAATATATTAAAATACTAATTTTTTTTCATCAAATATTTTTAATATGTGCCTTTAGGACAATCCTTCATTTTTACACTAAACTAGTATTATTAATAATTGAATTCTATGTAAGAAAACGCATGAAATTTACAATAATCGACACTTCTATTCATTCAATTTGAAATTATTTATGAATTAAAGATTAGAACATTCCTATTATATATCTTTAATGAATGAGAATATAATATAAAGCTCGTTAGTATGTCTTTTTTCTATATTGAATTGTGTATGGATTTTGGGCATGAGTGCAAGTTAAGAATATATTTTTTGATTTCTTTCTTAGCTATGTAATGAAGCCATTAACAATGCTTAAGTAACTGATTAATATTTATAGATTCTTAGTTAAATATTGACAAGAGAATGGTTGGTTGTTCTGTCTCATCATCACACAATTTGGTATTTAACAAGCGATAAACTTTATAATTTTCTTTTTTGGTGGGCTACATATTAAACCAAATAGTAAAACCCAATAATAATTTCATTTCATATAAAGCAATGATGAATGATTATCTTACATCTGCTCATTTTCTCAAACTTTGCCCATAATTAACCAAAAAGTTAAAAGATATATTAAACCTTTATTGTTTAATATAATAACAAAAATTCTCCTAAAATTCTAAAATAACAACAATCTTTATATTATTAATGAACCCTTAGAACTAATATTATTAGGATTTAATGAAAATTTATGTATGCGTTTGGTTTATTATTTTGGGTAGGATTTTGGGGATAGTATTGGATAATTAAATATGGGAGTATTACGAGGTAAAATTTAAAAATTTATAGAAAAACCCCCTAAGTTTGCTAATTTCATAAATACCCCAACATGTAAATTGACAAAAATACCCCCACTACCTGCAGTGCCAGATTCTGGCCACCACCGTCGGAATCTGGCCGGAAAATCGAGTTACGACACAGACCGGTCGGATCTGTGTCGTAACGAGTCGTTATGGCCTTTTCCGGCCAGATCCACCATAGATCTAGTCGAAAAAGGGCAGATCTACGGCCTGCCGTGGCCGTCGACGGCCGAAAAAGGCCAAAACGACGGCCAAAGATATGGCCGTCGTTTTCGGTCAACGATGGCGAAGATTTGGCCATCGTTGACCTCAACGACGGCCATTTCTTTGGCCGTCGTTCACGGCCAGATCTAGCCTTTTCCGGCCAAATCCGTGGTGGATCTGGCCAGAAAAGGCCAGATTGGTGAACTTCCGGCCATTTATGGTCGAAAGGTTGGCCGTTGTATAGATTTCGGCTACCACCGACGGTGGTTGCCGGAATCTGGCGAGTATGGGTTGCGGGGGTGTTTTTGATAATTTTTAAACTTTTTTTTTAGGGTGTATTTGATGAAATTAATAACCTTGTGGGGTCTAAAAGTAATTAAAAAAAATAGGGTAATATTCTTGGAATAACGTACCAAATATTATTTGGAGAATAGGATCCAGAATCTGGATAAAAATAGTAAACCAAACATAGTGATAATTTATAAGATTATTTTTTTTTTATTTATATTAACATTTAAATTTTTTTGTTATTTCATAAATTAATAAACCATGTTTGTAATTCAATCATACCTGAGGGGGATGTTGTTTTTAACTCGTAATCAAATTCTTGCCAGCTTCTGCCAGCTCCTATTTGTAATTTAGATTACTTCCATTGTGATAATGACTGATTATATTCCGATACATACTGGATGTGTACCAGAGCTTTCCCAGGTCAACACGTGTTTGTCCTCCAGCTGTTAAAACACGTGTCTCTCGAAGAAACAAAGTGCATAGCTTTTTACAAACACCTGTGAGTCACATCTCTCAAACTTCCATGTTGAGACTTGAAAGCACGACAACAGGACATACACATTTTGGACACATAAATTGAACATGTTAGTTGTTCTCCATTTGCTAATTATTTTATATATTCTTTCTCTCTCTACAATTATCTCCACAAAACGGCTATTAAACCAGCTAATTTAATCTTAAAATAAGATAAGCAAATACAAACAAAGTGTCACATCATCAAGCTACAATAATTTGACACGTGTAATGTAGTTCATTTTTGACCTGGTCCTGATCATCATGATTTGTAATCAAGAACTTATGGTCTGACTATTCACACACCCAATCAAGACTTATGTGGTTATTAAATTATAATAAATCGATAATGATATAGTCATGTTGCTAAGGGTATTCAAGTAAAATCAACCGACCACGCTTAAGAGTTGTTGAATTTGGAAATGTTAACGCGGAGGACAGACTGTGAAGGGAAGGTGACCAAATTTTATATAGTAAAAATTAAAAAATGTATATAGTAGAAAGAGACATCTTACTTAACCTCAGCAACCGACACATGTCCAATCCCAATGGCATTATCGTAGTTTTAGCAACAAAATAATAACTAACTGACTAAAATGCCCCTACTTCAGACAGGTGTCATATCCTCATTGGTTTTTAAGGTACTACCTCTGTAGCTGATCCTTGAAGAAAGTTCAAAGAAAGAATGGAAAGTAACCCAATTATTCACACCGCCATTGCTTAGTTAGCTCATCATGTTATGTGCGTGCATGTATATATACACATAAACGCAACATAAATAATGTACAAACAACTATAGTTTAAACGAGTTGAGGAATCTCTTACAAATTAATATTTGATATTGAATAACTCCACTCTCCATTCTTTTTATATATAACCTCTCCTATTTTCAGCACCCTCACTCTCAAACATTTTCTCATCTTCTACAACTCAAATACATCTCTTCTTCTTCGATCTTCCTCTAATTTTCTCAATCCTTCCAGAGAAAAACCAAGATGAGTTCTTCAATGGTTAAAGTTCTCTTCCTTTTGGGTCTCTTGGCCACCTCATGCATGGCTCAAGCACCAGCACCCACACCAACACCAGCCACACCCGCACCAACACCAACACCAGTGAGCCCACCAGCACCAACACCAACACCAGTGAGCCCACCAGCACCAACACCAACACCAACACCAGTGAGCCCACCATCACCAACTCCCTCACCAACTCCAGCACCAGCACCAGCACCGGCTACTCCTTCTCCGAGCCCAGCTCCAGTCACCGCTCCAACTCCATCACCAACCACCTCACCTGCTCCAACACCTAACGCCGTCTCTTCTCCTCCTGCTCCAACTCCCTCAGGCACTACCTCACCGTCTGGTGGGCCAAACCCCGCTGACGTACCCAGTGGTAGCTTTGTCGACGGATGGGTCAACAGAGCCGCCATCTTTGGAACTGCTCTAGCTGGAAATTTCTTCGCCGTTATTATGGCGTAGAAGAACCAATGGGATTTCTCTCATCGGGTCGTTGTCGGCTTCCAGATCGTGAGATCTGTTATTCTTCTTTGTTTGTTGAGTAGTGTTTTATTATTTATTTGTTTTTGTTTTATTTTATTTTATTTTTTGTATTTTCTTTAATTCATTTTGTTGTGATGATGATGATGATGATGATGATGATGATGATGATTAATTCTGTATTATTATTATTGGGTTTGACCTGGGGGTAATTATTTTTGATGGGGTTGAGCTACACGTGTAAAACATCTGATGGGGAATGAATTGTTGTAGAGATGGGGCTGGTGTACATCTAATAATAGTGGAATAAAACAGTTTTATTCTTTTATTTGATTTTTCATCTAATTTTTCTTTTTACTAATTCTTCAATTCCAGCTAATAATAATTAATAACATTGGAAAAAGTCTCGAAAAATTATCATTGTTATGAATTTGAGGAAAACGTGTTAAAGTACAAGGACAAGACTTGTCTTAGTCAGTGAATGGCTGATTAACAATCTTAATTAATTAAGTTAATTTGGAGCCGGCCAGGCGGCCACCATTAAAAAGACGAAAGATAATTGTCTTTTTTGCCAACCCTAATTATCGAATACAGCAATAACAATATCCCATTTGTTTATTTATAATCATTTGAACTTGACCCATTAAAAACGACGTCGAAGCTACCAGGCTGATCCAGTTCTACCCTAATTAATTAGCGATTAAATTTTGAAGTTGAAGCCTCGCCAAGTGCCTCAATTAGGCAAATTACCCCATGTTTGGTTGAACTAATTAATTATAACCTTCCCCACTATAACCATAATTTCTCCACTAATACCTTCACTTTTAATTTCTTCAACCATAAACTTTTTTATTAATTAGGATCATTTTCTGTTCTTCCCACATTAAATAATAAGTTGACAATCATTTGACACTGGATAGTAATGATGGGATGATATTAAAAAAAAAAAAAATTATAATTTAATAATCTCAAACTATATAGTTACTACATCATTTAACATACCAAACCTGAGATTTAACTTGAAGATATATAGTTTCTTATATATGTTCTTAATATGTTTCCTTGTCAACAAAGATAAATATGTCATCAGTACAGGATACACAATTATAATCACATTTGAGTAAATGGCTTTTCAAAATTTATTGTTACTTTTGAGAAAAGTAATTCAGGCCATATATGCTTTAAGTTCTATAAACTTCTCTAATCAAGATATTAATTGTTTCAATTTCTTACAAGATATCTTGGTTGACTTTAGTGAAGATGAAGTTTCATGCATGTTCTATTCTTATAACAAGCTTATTTTAATTTATAACAAATCTTTAATGAATCTCGCCCGCATATAATATACGTATGTGTGAAATATATGGTTGGTACAAGTGTTTTTAGAATAACCCCCTTTTTAAGTGGATTGAGAATATTATGACTCAATTATTTGACACTATTTAATTATAACCTTTCTCTTTTATTGGTAAATTGGTTTTAAAAAATATCCCCTAGCTTTTCTCAACTATTGAATTGGAATAAATGTAGGGTTATCAAATGGTGGCTACGAATTTAAATTAAAAATAAATTAATATAAAATATCTTAGCCTTTTATTTGGGACTATATAAATCATTGCACTTTTTCAGTTTTTCTTCGTCAAATATCAACAAACTATATAGAGAGTTTTGTAGTTTTTCATTTATTCATTTATAAGTTGTAATAAAACCGCTTTTATATATATAATCAAAATGTTTCCAAAATAGTTTTTCAAATAAAATCATAAACATTTACTTTATCTTATTTTTTAAATATATATATATAATTTTCTTTCTATTTCAAAAATATTATATTACTTTTAGATCATGGCACAATTACAACCTACACAATCTTTTTTGCCCTATTTTATGGCTTTCTCATAGTCAAAGTTATGATTCCATTTTTGTTAAATTTTATATTATCTTTATTTGACATGCATATTTACCGTTGTATCCTTATATGTAAAACACTATTTCAGTCCAATAACTGAATCCAATGGTATTCAAACATGATCCTAATATAATTACAATCCTATATACATATATCAATCATATGGATTTTTGAAATTTATATTAATAAATGAAAGAGCCTTAAAAATTTTAAATATTATATTATTACTTAATATTTTTTTTTAATTCATGATTCAATTTAAATAACTAATCTTGTAAAAACAAAAGAATAATGGTCCAATGAATATACAACCAAATTGTACATAGCGATAGCGTAACTTAGCCCGCTCTAACAAATTGTGTTTAAAAAGGTTGACCTTAACTACAGGCAATATCAATTAGGGTAATGCTATTTGTACAAATTCTTTGTACAGACTTCGTGACATATTATATGAGTGTCACGTGACATAAGAGCTCATATAATATTAATGTGACATTAAGTTACGTGAGTCTCAATACCACATGGTATGCTTTGTGGTGTGTTATGTGAATTTGTACAAACTCTCTTTATACAAAGAGTTTGTGCAAATAGCATTACCATATCAATTAACCTACCTCTAGTTTCACCTATTTGTACAGCAATTTATCCATCTATGATCTATCCTAAAATAACACCCGTGTTATAGGTCAAATGAAATCTATTTGTCAAGTAAACTCTTCATGTAAGGTATAATAATAATAATAAAAGTAATAATAAGGTTAGATCTGGAAAAATTATGAAAGGAATACAAATTCAATTGTCCATCTATGAATTCATCGTTCATTATTCTTGGTCTGCATCTGCTTCTCCACTTGGCATTCCCACTGGCTTTATGGGCCTCTTATCCACCCTATTTTCACCTGCACATCTTTAAGCCAAGTTCTCAAATGAATTCAGTGTACATTCAATTGAAAGACGCCATAATTAAAATTTTCCAATTGATTCGGATCAAATTTCCCAATAATATAACCATCCCAAAGAAAACGCAATCCCAAAATTTGATTTGTATTTTAATGGTTCAGTGGTATTCTAATTTATTTTAGCTTGTTCTCTTCTATTTGCAATAGAATCCTCCTGGTTGCTTATTCGATTGTTGTTCTAACGACAAACAAATCATCGCACATGTTTGTATAAATTGTAGTTAATATTTTAACTTTAAGGGTGTGTTTGGTTGGAGGTAATAGGGGATTAATGAGGTAATGTCATCTTATATTACTTGATTACAACATTTGATTGTCAAGTAGTATATCATTCCGATAATTTTTCAAAACCAATAGTAATTATTGTTGGTAATATACAAGGTAATCAGATTATCTCTATTTTCTTAGGTATTTTAAGATTACTTAGTAATCATAATTTTGTTACAATTTTACCTTTTATTAATAAATTTTTTGGATAAAAATACCATAATTTTGAAATTAATTTACAAATATACTCAGACTATTTTATCCTTATATACAAAATTTTTAGGACATAATTACCCCTGGACTTTAAAAAAATTAACCGAGGCCGGTGGCTTGATCTGGCCGCCGTCGGCCACCACCATCAACGACTGCAAGTGATGATGGAATGGCTCACAATCGGCTAGATCTAGCCAGCCGTGCAGGTCGTTTCCGTCCATGGTATGTGATCTATGGTTGGAAACAGCCAGACCTGGCCATTGCACAGCCATATCTCCACTATCGCCACTGCCAACAGTGGTGGCAAGCGGCCGACAGTGGCTTGGGGTGGGTGGGGGTGTTTTTGTTAAGTTTTAAACTTTTTTGGTTTTTGGGGTGTTTTAGCTAAATTTGAAATGTAGGGGGTTAAAAGAAGTTGTTCAAAAAATAATATTATATTAATATTTAAAAAGGAGGATAATTTAGTAAATTACATAACATACCCATCAATTTATTCCTCCAAACCAAACATATTAATATAACATACCCACCAATTTATTCCAACCAACCAAACACATTTCCCTAAACATTCCAGCTGCGTTTGGTTGGGAGTTATATGAGATTATTGAGGTAATGTCATCTTATATTACTTAATTACCACGTTTAGTTGTCAAGTAATATAAGATTTTAGTAATCTTCCAATACCAATAGTAGTTACTGTTGGTAATACATGAGATAATCTAATTACCTCCATTTTCTCAGGTATTTTAAAATTACTTGATTATCTTATTTTTGTTACAATTTTACCCCTTATTAATAAAAGTTTAGGACAATAATGCCCTTGTTTTAAAAGCAATTTACAAAAATACCAATTGACTATTTTATCCTTATATACAAAGTTTTTAGGACATAAATACCCTCGAAATTATACAAAAATTTCCCAAGGGTGGTGGCTCAATCTGGCCACCACCGCTAGCAGCTGGAAACCATCGTCGGCGGCGACAGAATGGTGCATGACTGACCATATCTATCCGGCCATGCGCCGATAAGGTTGTTTCCGACCATGGATTTGTGATCCATTGCTAGAAACATCCAGATCTAGCCTTATATTTAGCTGTGAAACAACCACAAATTTGGCTATGAAACGACGGCCGTTTCATGGCCAAATCTCCACTTTCGCCACCATCGGTGGTGGTGGCAGGACGCTGACAGTGGCTTGGGGTGGGTGAAGGTGTTTTTGTTAAGTTTTAAACTATTTTGTTACTGGGGTGTTTTAGCTAAATCTGAAATATAGGGGGTTAAAAAAATTATACAAAAAATAATAATAAAAATAGTATTATATTAATATTTAAAAAGGAGGGCAATTTAATAAATTATATAACATACCCACCAATTGATTCCTCCCAACCAAACATATTAATATAACAGATTCACCAAATTATTCCAACCAACCAAATACATTTCCCTAAACATTCTTAGTAATCTTCAAGGTAATTTATCGTTCCATTAATATAACAGTCCTAGTAATACGATATTCTCTGAACCAAACACACCCTAAGTGACCGTGGAGTGTGGATCGGCTATTTTTTTTTTTTTCCGTTAATTTGAATCATGGTTTCGCACCTAAAGATTTATAACATAGTAATAATATTACTCTTATAACAATAGGGGGCCATTTGGATGGGGTTAAATTACATAATTGGGGTAATATTTTTTAAATTGAGTAGGTGATGATGTTTGGTTGGTTTATAAAAAAATATTCTTGAAATATTTTATGACAAACAATGGCATTTGAGGGGTAAAAGTTGCCGGGAATCTTAATACCTTGGGGGGGGGGGGGGGGGGGCTGTTATTAAAACTTACCTCAGGTAATATAATTTTTTTTCCCATATTGGCCCTAAATAGTTGAGCATTTGGTCCAATTTAGCCTTATATTTGTTAAGATTTACAAAACACCCAATTCACTCAACCCTTTTGTCCTCACTTTATAAATTTTTCGGACGACA